CTCAGTTGCTTAATTGTCTGCGGGGGGGGGATGTGGGGGGAGGGGGGACCAGCATGGGGTGAGACTGGGGGTAGGGAGAGGGCCGTGCCCTGGGGGCCTTCTCCCAGCATGTCCTACCTCTGCACTTCAGCCACCATGGCTGGGCATCACATGGGCTGGGGCTGTGCCTGTGCCCACCAGGGGGTGCCAGCAACACCCTCCTGCTCTCAGGGCTCCAGTGGGAGCTGGTCTAGGGTGGTGTTTCTCCACCACTGGTACGAGTGTGGGTGGTTGGGGAGGAGGGGGGGGGGGGGGGGGGGTACCTCAACACAACTGACATGTGGAGAACTGAATTAAAGTTTAAGCATTTGATTATTTTTGTACTTTTTACACCCAAGTTTCATCACCTGCATGGCTAAAATTTTGTGTTGCAACAGTGGAAAAATGGTCTGAAAACTGGGGGTCCTCTTTAAAAAAATCTTATTTAAAAAAAAAAAAACTTGAGAAAGCCTGGTCTATACCGCACAGAGGGCTAAATAACCTGAGGGGGAGGGCACTAGAGCCTAGTGGTCCTGACCCTCCTAGCTGGGGTGGCTGCAGGCAGCTTGCCCCAGCCATGGCCTGGGGGTGTCTATCCTCCTTTGGGGGAGGTTTGGCTGAAGCCTCAGCTCTTCCCCTGCCTACAAGCAGTGGGTGCAGGACAAGCTGGGGTCTGCCTGGGCTAGAGTCCTTGCTTGCTGAAGCAGCCCCTGGGGTGTGCCTAGGGCTGAGCTGTTGGAGTACCCTAGCAAGCCTGGCTCAGAGGCAGCCCCTTTACTAGGCAGGGGAGGCTGACAAAAATGCTTCTTGCTGGGCATAGTGGGGGGAGGGCGTTTGTGCTGACTTCAGTTTGCTTGCAGGACAAGCTGGGGTCTGCCTGGGCTAGAGTCCTTGCTTGCTGAAGCAGCCCCTGGGGTGTGCCTAGGGCTGAGCTGTTGGAGTACCCTAGCAAGCCTGGCTCAGAGGCAGCCCCTTTACTAGGCAGGGGAGGCTGACAAAAATGCTTCTTGCTGGGCATAGTGGGGGGAGGGCGTTTGTGCTGACTTCAGTTTGCT